CAAATGCAGTATTAAAATAAGGAATAACATTAGTACTGCATGACAGTATTTAGCATGTCCAATAACTCTCTATTAACAGTCTGGTTATGCAATGCGAATTTATTGCAACTTTAGATTATCCGCAATATTTTTAACCAACGTCACTTTTAAATTGAGTTGCTTCTTCTCTCGCAAATAATCGACCACTTTGATGGATTTGTTCATTTATATTAATCGAAATTCCCCATTGACGGAGTCCCGCTCGATCAATCAAACATTGGCGGAGTTTTAAAATTAAATTAACGATTCCCCCGGGACTTTACCACCAGCGCTATCTAATTCAAGTTTGACACCGTATTTTTGACGCGACCTCATACCTTATCGGGGTGTTACAAGGTGTATTACACATTTTCGACCCTCTTTCATAACGACACAGATGTATTTTATCGCGAGTCTTACACTTTAACCGTTCAGGAGCTTTCCAAAGAAACTGGGGAAACTTTAGACGTTGTTGTCGAATGCTCGTCGTGCTGTTTACTACATGTGCACGTGTCACATACTTAGGACATGCCCAACAAAATGCTTCTAAGAAGTGAAATGGGCAGTAAACAAAAGATTTTAAAGCACGTTTGCCAGCTAAAATTTCTGAGGAACGAAGTTGAGGCGAATTTTTGACAACTAATTACCTTTGCCTATTAACTGACTATGTCTGTTCGTCCTACCACAAAGATAACATCTTCTCTCAGTTCGATTTTGTAAACTGTTGCACTATTTTTGAAGCCGCATTAGTAAACGATTAGAAATGTACAAGTTTCACTAGATAAACTGAAACAATATACATACTAGCTACTTGGGAAAGTTCTGCCAGCACGTGTATTAGTAATTATAAATTAGGTGCCCCCTGTTTATCTATATTACGGTAAGTAAACACTTCTGCAAAAACTCCCGCATTAATATAGGAAGTGGTGATATTTCGTCGACCAACATTTAGCATACCGGGGTTGAAACGTTGAAATTCCACTGTTTATGTTTGGGTTTGTTCTGTGTCATTAACCCACAATTTCAACGCCGGTTCGTAACGCATTAAATTATGTCATGTGATGAATCGTCATAACTAAACACTCTAACTTACTAAGCAACTAATCAGTAAAATACGAGTCATACTTTCGTGGATAATCTTCCTAAGTAGAACTTGTCCCGTATTTGTCCGGACCAATGCCTCAGCTTGATTCTTGCCAATAAAGAATTCTCCTTTCTCTTCTATGAGGCATGGGTATCACTGTGTTGAGTTGCGCTTTTGAGTTATTGCCACTCTCTGAGCTAATGAGTTTTAACTCATTGGTTAATGAGTTAAACTCATGGCCGGTGGCAGACTTTTCACATCTAACAAAAAAAGCCATCAACATATGGCTTTTGCGCATACGATTCCTTGAAACTATTTGATCTAAAACGGGAAAATCCGGAAATTTTGAAGACACTTTTCAGAGCGATGAGGGTGACGAGTTTTCTAAATATTGATTAAATGCTTTCGCTTTCTCTGGGCGTTTTTTGAAAAAACCTAAATTTTGTTGAGACGAAAACAAGATGACTGTTTCGATTTTGTCCCAAATTCAAAGGTCAAAAAAGACCGTCTTGCATTCAAAAAAGACGGGCATTCAAAAAAGACGATAAAAAAGACCAAACTGTAAAGATGACGACTTTTCTTGCAAAATCCATCTTTTTACTTTTTTGCATAAAGGACACTCAGTTTGTCACTGTAAAACACAACTGTACAACTACAGTAAAACGTTACGAAAAAACGCGTTGTTTTTTTCGCGTTGTTGTAAAAGTGAACAAACTCACTTTAGTGTTCCAATAAAATTTATTTTATACATTTCACAGGAAATACCTGAAGATTGTCAGTATTTTAAGTTAAACAAAAAATGATACGTTTTACTTATTAATGAATGATAGTTTTACTGCTTAGAAAGAATTGCTTAATTGAATTGCTAAAACTGGAATGACCTGAAATTTTAAAGAAAATTGAAAAATCTTCAGGGCGATGACGGTGGCGAATTTTCCAAATAATTTTTTGAAAACTTTTGCTCTCGCTGTTTTTTTCAAGATAATCTTAGTTACTTTCGGTAAAAAAGTGAATACAATTATTTGGTTCTTGTGCCAAATTAGTAGATGAAAAGGTTTTTCTAAAATTCCCTGCAAACCGCTGAACGAGGCGAATTTTATAGCAAAATTAATTTTGTAATTTTTGGCTGAAAAGACCCCATTATTGTCAGAAAAGAGAAAAATCGTCAGAAACTAATGTTTTTTTTGCGTTTTTGATTAAAAACTTAGTTTTGTGATCGGTTTTTGAGAAAATCTTAATGATTTTCGGGAAAAACGGGAGAAATTTATTTTCGTTTTTGTCCCGAATTCGGCGTTGAAAAAGTTTTTGTTAAATTCCTACAAAGCTGTAGATTTATCTTGTAATTTTTCGCGTAAAGACCTCCAGATCATCAGTATTTTTAAGTGAATCTTCAGAGAAAAGCGTACCTTTGCTGAAACTGGAAAATTCCGAAATTTTGAATAAATGTTAAAAATATTATTGATAAATGGCCCTTAAAATAAATCTAAAAACAAGTGAAAAGGTCATCAACATTTTTCCAGCAACGGAACTGAGTTACGACGACGGTGCGTTGGGTTGTCGTACCAAGCCTTTTGCGTTGCATTGCGCCAACTTCTAAAAATTTATTGAGTTACCCAGGCCTATCTTCTGTGTTTCAGAAAATTTTATCACATAATATTTTCTTGTGGCAATTTTGTCCTTGATATTGTTTTACACCGATTAGTTTAAAATTTTCTACATTGTAAAATTGAGACTAGATTTTGTGGCAACTAAGTGGGGCATACATTTGTAAGCTACGCTCAAGGTAGATTTGCTTATTTTTTCAGATTCCGAGCAATCTCCTGGTATGTACTTGCGTGATGATCCACTCTTCGGCAATCAGCCTCCACATTGCGAGTTAAGAGTGCCCTCAGCTGAAAAGGCTGCCCATTATTTGGACGCAGCCATTGAAGGCCGAAGTCCAGTAACAAAAGATGACTCCCGAGACTCTCATCTTCTGTTTACGCTGCACGTCTACCAGTACAGTGTGGCTGGCAAAGGCGGAGGTACGATTAATGTTTTAGTTCAGCAAGCGAAACGACTCGCTGCGAATTATTTATTTTATCCCGGATATTTCCATACTCTTTTACCGATTAAAGGAAAGTTATGCAAATACATTTTTCACGCGGCAAATAAAGACGTCGCCCCCTCTGCGCGCGCCCGAATTTATTATAATTGAGTTTTCTTATCGTGTCGTTTGCGACAAAAAAGTAGCGCGCGTCTACTTAAAAACTTATTTTCCCGGCTGCTTTTTTGTCCCTAATCTTGAAAATTGTCCGTGTTACTGCCTCCCTGGCCGCGGGCGAGAACTGTCTCAATCTGATATACGGCGATTTTTGTTCGCCATTCATTGTGCTAAGTTGGCTTCAAAGTTGGATTTTATCAAATTCTTACCTACTTATTGATTTGTTGCATTTTTATCAAAAGCGTCACAATCGACTTTGTTGTAATGCGTTTTATATTCAAAGCACAGGAAAAGTTACTCGATCGTATAGCGACGTCTATACCCTATTCCTTGGTTCGCCCTGTATATTATTATGAATAATTTTTGAGCTCGACCCTTAAATGTTATTTAAATTATAACAACCGATAAATACATTTTTAGTAAATTTGTTCTAAAATATTCGACCTAAAAACAACGTGTGCGTCGTAACTGGACCAATTATGAATATTTTGTAGTTTTACATTATTTTTGACATAAATCGTCTATATTTCGAATCTACAATTATAACCACCAAAGGATAACTTAAATAAGATTCTGTAAGCGAACCTACATTCAACTGGAAGCTTAACAGCATAGCATTAGAACTTTCATCTTTAATTTCTTTTTATTGAAATATTTATGATAATTTTTCTCATGTTTGTGTGTTTATTTTTTTCATCCGCGATGATAAATTATTCATGTATTTATCTTTTATGTAATGAAACTTATATATACGAGATTAAATATTATAATTATTTCTATTAAACTGAGCATTGAATGTTTCCTGATAAAAACGTGTGCGTCGTACTTCAACAAATTGTGATAAAATTATTGAAAACTATTTTACTGAAATTTCGAAAATCTCAAAGAATTTTTATCTTTACCAATCAATCAATTAAAATTGCAATTTCCCAGCGGAAATTATACACAGTGATGCAAGATGGATTTAGCGAATTTCGTCTAAACCCGCCATTTTATTCTGCATTGATCAGCTAAAAATAATCAATAATCTCAGTTGCTGGTGGCCGATCAAGATTGCATCTCATCGATTTGGGCAATTCCGAAAGAGGAAAAGCGAGTGGAGGAATACCACTATCCGGAGTAGGAAACATTCTGTTGGCTATATTTAACGGCCAGAAGCATCTACCCTATAAAGAGCACAAACTCACACATCTTCTTAAAGGTACGTTTTGCATCAACTTTCATTCGACCCAGTTTCGCATCGCATCTATTCGCTTCCAGACTGCTTAAGTTCCTTAACGTGCCACGCCGCTATGATCGTTCATGTCTCCCCTTTTGCACAAAACTATGCGGAAACTCTAACGACAGTGCAACTGGCGTCCAGAATACACAGAATGAGACGGCGGAAAATCAAGTTCGTATCAACTGGCACAGGAAACGGATCAGGTAAATCCTTTCCCGAACTGTATGCCTAGACATTTGTTCAATGGGGAGTTTTTCAATTAGGAGGATCATCGGGAGAGGAGCAAAACCGCACAACAGGGACCAGTAGCGAACCAGATCCTTCCAGTAGTGATTTATCTGCAGATACCGTCATCTACGTAGGGAGGGCAGATGATGCTACAGACGGCGAACATCCACCCGTTTATATTCCTAGCTTAAATTCCGGAGATAACCGTTGCTCAATGAGCAAAGCACTTAGAGGTATTGCCTAATCCCGTAAGAACCGCTGGATGTCTGATCCCAAATATTTGCAGGTTCATCGGCTGAACAGCGCCCAACCAAATCACCACGGGACACTCCGGAAAAATCGTCCACTCACCGTCCAATCAAATCGTCCTCACAAAGCGCGAAAACATCACCGGCCCACACCGGCTCACCCAAATCTTCACCTAGTCGAATTCCATCTATTAAGAAGCCGAGTGACTCGTCCAAACATCCATCGAATGGTGCAAGTGATGAACAGTGGATTGATGGCCCGAGGTAAGAAATTAGTGAGATTGAAACAGAGGGAGAGTTACTTAGAGCACAGAAAAACAACCCAAAATCGAAACAGTTTAAATTGTTTGGTGCATGAGGTTCTAGAATATGAACAAAGCTGGCGAATTGATCCCACGTACACATAAATCATTAAAAATATACTCTAAAACCAAGAGGAAGGCAACGTAAAAGCTGCTCACGCAAACTGCTTAAACTGATAATTTAACGTCTCTCAAAATAGAGTGTGTCTTCTAAAGCATAAACAATATTTTTCTTTCTAATAACTCTAACTGTTTGATTGCGCAAGTTGAATAAATCGATCATATTTCTACCAGAAGAATATGTGGCAGGATTTTGTTCAATCTGCTGTAGATATTATAATAATCTTTATATCCTACCCCAATAAAGGATAAGAATATTGTACAAACCTGCAAACTTTTACATGTTTTGTACAAATGAATGCAGTAGCTTGGTGAGTGGGATCAGCTCTCCTCCCAGAGAACATTACTTTGGCTCGTATAACTGTGGACAAAGTCCATTTTCTGTTTTCCAGCCAAGCTATTAACCTTCTTTAGCTTAATCCAACTCGATCAAAATTTTTAGAATATCCAAAAGTAAAGTCGCTGAAGCCAGACACCTGATGAAAGAACCTTGCCATATCAAGAAGCGAGAAACATGGATTGACGGACCCATGCAGGGCGCAGCTGCTGAAGCCCAAGGGTTTGTTAATCTTCTCCCGTTTGCGTCTGCAGCCATTTTAACACCATTTATTCAGATACGGCTACATGGACTCGCACAAGAAGAATATGATCAGAAAATGGGTGGAACATCAGACGTTTCAAATCCAGAAGACCAAGCCACCGACTTCCGCGCACGGGAGGGTGCAAGAGGGCGCCTCCTGTTCAAGACATGGCAGCACCAAAGACATACCCAGCAAAGAGTTTGCTCAATTTAAAACCTGCTCCTCTGAAGACGTGCACGACGATGAAGGAATTCTCAGACCATTGAGGAAGCAGGAAATTGTTGAAGAAAGCGTTATTCGGACTGGTTTGAAAATGAATAGGTTTGTCCACATTTGCATGGCATTTAGATTCAGGTGGTCAGAGATATTTTCATCTTTTCAGCAGTAATCCTCGTAATGATAACGCCATAATGGAAACCGACGACAGTGCATTGGACGACCAACAGAAAAGGCCTGATGATGACGACGAAGAACCAGAATTGCCGCCAGCTTTACCAATCATCCAGCCGTTGAGTTCCAGGGAAGTGTCCCTGGAAAGTCTGGATATGATTCTTAAGGTACAATTGCCCCAAAAAAATCCCCCAATTGGACTGAAATGACCAAATTTGTTCAGGAGCGAATGCTGTCCAATGCGGAATATAACAAGAGCTGCCAAAGCAACTACGAACAAGACCAGATGAACCATTCAGAAGAAGACGAAGTCCTGGAAATCATCGAGGTCGAAGAACCCTTGGAGCCAGTGCCGACAATGGACAGCTGCCTTCAGGTGACCGAAGAAGACATTGCGCTTTGCATGGGTTTTTCGGAAAATCCGCTACCAGAAGTGGACCAAGAAAATCCTCTGGATCATCCCCTAAGGATACTCAGCCAGGAAAATTTGACTGTTGTCTCCACGTTCACAGATTCAATGAGTGTTTATACGGATTTGGAAAGAATTCTGCCTAGGCATAGGTAAGTCAACTCTTAGGATAGGGTTTCACAGGGTGTTACAAGAAACATGTGCTACTGCTGATGGGGATTGTTTGCGCGTAACAATAATATTTGTCTGGTAGAGTTACATCGGACTTTGGTTTCTTTCATTTTCAGCATAAAATGTTAGTTCCTGTCAGTTCTCTTGATTCATTGTGTCTTTGATATTTAGTTGTCCAACGAAAATAGTTTGTTCGTATTTCTTGCGTATTTGTTGAATCGTGATTACGTTTGTTATACGAAATATGACCATGATTTAAATAAATTCTAAATAACTTCATCTTTAGTACTCATAAACTACTTTAATAAAAAATGGAGAATCTCATTAAAATTGAAAGACAAATACTGAAGAAATATGCTGGGCAGGTGCCAGTAAAACCCCAGAAAATTTACTGCGTAATTCCGAAAGCAGCAACAACTTGCTATCAATGGTTTTAAATCTACTTCTGGCCATTTAGATAACACGTGTTTTTTGTGTAAACAACAGTTTATATACTACCGCTGCGGACCACGTCAATGAGATAAATTTTGTTGAACAGTGGGGTAACAATAATAAATTTATCGAAATTTCACATTTGACTTGCTTTGAATTTGAATAGGAATGAACTTTAGAATTGGGCGAATAGTTCGAATATGCAATAAAAAGTACGGCATTCGAAAAAGGTAAGTTTGGACTGCCACTTGAATTATTTGAGACACCCTGTATCAATTGGTATTATCTTAAAATAAAATAGACGTTAAAATCTGCAACTTTTGTATTTAAACTTCAAATTTAATGCAAAAACGGGGTGGCCAAAGTTCAATCAATATTGGTTATTAACTCAAAAACAGTTGAAAATCATTCTTCTTGTTCTTCATAAACCTTAGTTTCTCCACTGCTGGAGATAAGTCTCTTCAAGTTTCTTCCAGATATCTCTATCCTGTGCTTTCTGTGTCCAGTTTCGTCAAGCTGCAGCTTTAATATCGTCAGCCGTTCAATGGTCTACTTATTTATTCTCTCGGTTATACTCGTTATTCCGGTTCTTCTTCTAATCTCTTCGTTCCTCATGATCTCTCAAACTGACCCCCAGCATTTGTCTTTCCATAGCTCGCTGCGTGCATTGCAGGCAATGTACGCTGTTTTGTATGAGGCTCAGTGTTTCCAGCCCGTAAGTGTTTACTGGAAGTATGCAGCTATCATACACTTTCCTTTTCAGGTTCATAGTTCCTTTTGTATGCAGGCCAACTTTGACCTATTCTTCGCAGTATTTCTGCATTTTTATTTTCTTTATCAATTTTCAGTTTATCTCCCAGGTATACATATATACTCGTCTAGATTTTC